TCATGATCCGCCCACCTGGGCCTCCCAAAGTGCTGAGATTACAGGCGTGAGCCACTGCCCCCAGTAACGGGACAATTTTTTAAAACACCGAAATGAAATGAACATGTATCTTAAAGTAATAAAGGCATTGATTTTTTCCACATATTTAATGACAATGAGAACAAAAAGCTATTCAAAAAGGAAGCTGCATTGTACTAGAAAATTCTGTTAAAGCACATTTTTATCCTTAAAACAGCAACTTTCTGCTGTAAAACACAAGAAATGACATAACTATCATTAACTTTTATTTCTTACATTAACCCAGTAGGAAATCATATCAGATCAATTCAAGAAGACTTGTTAAAACAGACCCTTATAACACACTATGGTCTTGCATCATATCAGAGAATACTAATACAACTTATCCTGAATTGGTCCTAAATGTTCACAAATTAAAATATGTTCAAGATTGTCCCAAGGGCTCACCTGGGAGCAAATCCAGTTACTACTATAGATAAGAGAATCTTGAATGAAAAGCAACTGTTGAGGAAAAAAAAAATATCCAACAGGGAAACAGAAGAGCCTTCTGTTGATAAAACTGAGATCTGTAAAAATGCGAAGAGACTAGAATGAGAGAAGTAGAAAGTAATGTCATAAAGCAAATGAGCAGTTAACATGGGGTTTGAGGAACAGTAGTTTCAGTTTATCCAAGAGCAGTCCAGAATGGCACCTAGAAATGGGCTTAGTGAGATGTCACACCCATTCCCAATTCCCACCATGGTTGCATGGTATCAATAAAAGAATCTCCTCTCTCTTTGACAACAATATACTAAATAAATACCAAATGAAAATCCATCTTAAGAAAATTTCACACTTTAATGAGAATATGTTCAACAATGAATAAACACTTAGCTCAGTGGGGATAGTTATTGTTTAGAATCACATTAAGTCTAGCTCTTTCATCATGTCTACCACATGAAACAATGAAGAGAGAAAAAGACTCAAGGTGACAGAGGACAGTGATCCCTGCAGAATAAATCTAGGTTAAACTTAAAAATACTGTTCTTATATTAGGTAAACAGTAGAGATAGTAAGCATAGCCAATGAAAAATATAACACACACATTATAACTTGTTTGGCTAGTTGTCTACAATATTCAAGAATATGTATCATAATACTAACAGTTTTAAGAGATTAAAAGCAAGATACATTGTTTCTCTAGATCAGTTTATAAGGAAAACTATATAACATATACTTTGGTATCATAGAAATATACATTTGTTTTTCTAATTAGAACTTGTTGATTCCTTTAAAAATTCAATCCATCAGTCAATTTATCGAAGAAGGAAAGAAGAAAGGGAAGGAGGGAGGCAAAGGAAGAGAGAAAGAAGTAGGCAAAGGAGGAGAGGAATACTTCTAAAGTGTTATAATTTCAGCAATGTATCAGCAATTTCTGTAACAGTTTTTTAAAGGGAAGAACTTTTAAGAAACTCAGTTTATGGGGTTTAGAAACATTAAGTCCTAAACTTTCTAACTAAACCTGCTTAGTTAAGTTATATCTAGAATATCAACTGAGCTTCCTCCTCCTCCTTCCTATATACCGTTTATCTCTTTTTCTCTCTCTCCTCCTTCCCATTCTGTCTCCCTCTCACTCTTTTCCTCTCTCTCTCTCTCACACACACACACACACATATGTGTTTAATTCCATTATTAGTTCAAAATAAGGTAATCCAAAAGAAACTGTCTAGAGAAATGGTAGAAAGAATAAAAACACACATCAACTTAAATATGTCAAAGAGCCATATCGTTTATTGGCTATACTCCCAAAACCATTCTTGTTCTCGATAAACCAGTTGTGTCTGGTCTGGACAGGTGTGGCTCCAAAATCTCATAGAGAGTTTACTTCTGTCAGTGGTATTATTAGAAACAGCAGGGGGAGGAAACAATCTCAATCTTAAATCCCAGTGTGCAGAAATCACAGTTCTAGGTAAATATCAGCTTGGATAAGGCATCTCAGTGATTATAATTTTCCTCAACATCCCTAACAAATCCACAGGTAGAAGAATTAAACACCATGCAGAGATAAGTTCCACTTTAACCTGCAATTCACCCAGAGCTTTAGTTTCAGACTGTAGCAACTCACGTAACTGGACAACATTTGGATCTACCTTAGTCCAGTATAGCAGAGTTCAAGGATGTCATATAAATTTTGATTCAAAACTCTTGAGAAACTCTTTACAGCTGATCTCACCTGCCATATCATGTCAAAACAAAACAAAACAAGACAAAAACAATCCCAAACTAAGATCCTTTGGAACAACGTTAACCTGGGCTGCATCTAAGCGAAACTGAATCCCCAAGTTCCGATTATAATCAACTATGCTTCAGTAATTCACTAGATCTTGATCAATTCCAATAATAAAAGTTGTTGAGGAGGGAGAAAAAAACAGGAGTTTGCCCCATATGGGGAACTTGACAATCATGTTATTGGATAATGCATATATCTGGAAAAGCACAATAGTCATGAAAGTTGTGCTTTATCACAAAAGTGAAGATTTACACTAGAATAAATCCAAATAAGAAATTATTTTTAACCAAAAGATAAATTATAAAGCTATAATTTTGTTCAGTGCAAATGAAATTACTTTGCTACCTTTCACAACTCTGTAATTAGCTTGATAAATATTAAATCCATGAGGAAGAGCTCCACTGTACAAGTTTTTTTAAAGACCGCTTAAAAGCAACCTTTAACAAGCTAAGAAAACAAGCTAGAGAAGATTCCAAATCTGCGGTACTGAATCTATTCTTATTACCAATGGTGATATAAACAACCTGATGTATGAAATCGTAAATATCTATCAATAAATACTATAGTCTTACTTCCTTTTACTTTAGCAAGATAATATTACTGAATTATGTACCACTGAAACTATATTACAATAAAAATTTCCCCCAAACTGAAGGAAAATTTTACTCTCAAATGGAATATAGTTTAAATTACAAGTACCAGAACCAACAAAAGGCAGAAATATTATATAGCAACCTCATAGCCCACCTTTCTTCTTGACTGGCATTCTTAGGTCTTTCCACTGCCACAGAATTCAAGATCTCGTTTCAGGTCTCAGTTTGATCCAGCTGGATTGAGGCCAAGAGCCAGGTAACTGTTGCAAACCACTTCACTGTTCAGTTTTGAAATCCAGGCTGAGTCTTCTATGTCAGATAAAGAAAGTAATGATGTACTTTTTCCACAACTAAACTTTTTACACCGCCCACAGAGTTTACAGAAACGTAATTTTTTAGTTTTTCAAGTTTTTCAATGTTCAGAAAATATTTAGACTGTTTTTACAAACTGGGAAAATTATTGTAAACATGAAGAACGTTACTGAAATTCCTCTTCAGGCAGCAACATTTTGGAAGTTCAATCACTAACTCATTTAAGGCACAAACCAAATTTAGACAGCTGTCTCATTACTTTATACATGGTCAAACTGAAACATGATGAAAAAGATCCTCAAATATGTAGAGAAAAATTTAACCCCACCTCCCAAAAAATACTTTTAAAAACCTCTTTGACTCCAGTCTCTAAAAAGATAGGTGAGTTTGAACAGTTTTCTGTGGCAGAACACACACCGAAAGGCCCTCTTCTATTTACTGATCAGAAGTTCCGGATCTCACTCCCTCAGTAACTCAGAATCCAGCTTGTTGTCACTTTCATTTTTTTCTTCTGTGCTCTCCAAGCCCCCAGGCTTGATCCTTAATGCACCTCTGATTCTGATCCTCCCATGTATTAACAGAGAGGATTGAAAAAAAAGGAAAGCAATCCCTTGGCATGGAGACATTAAAGTGACAGTGCTACTCAATGGGCACTTGATGCAGGATGAGTTGGCGAAGCAGATTTCTTCACACTGGAGTCATTCACATCATGCCATCTCTTCGCATCCAAGCAGCCCCCTATCCGGCGAGGAAAAACACTGAGACTTCGAGAGAAGCCAAACCTTCCCCCAAAGGTGTTTTCAGAGACGCCGTAGTAGTATTAGACATGTAAGCATAAGCTATGCAAACGGTCCGCGATTTCCTCAAAATGAAAAAGTGCAGCTGCTTGGCTTTCACATCCACATCCTTTTCTCTCAATCTCTCTTCAAACTACCCACCTTCCTTTTGCAGAAAAGACAAGACATTTCTCTGCCACCGCTGGCCACCCCTGCCCAAGCCCCGTTCTTTTAGGGAAGAGCACTGAAATGTCCTGCACCCTCCACGCGATGAAGTGTTTCTTCAGGCAGGAGCAACAGCAGCACTAGAAATTATATAACTCTCGAATTTGGCTTCTCTAAGACATGGAGACTGGAGGGTCGGGGGTTGCCGGTCTGGGAGATACTGCTGGGCATTTAACGTGCACAAAATAGCGCCAGGCCTTGCAGTGCCCCCCACCCTGAGACACGACTGACAAGTGGGTCTTCTCGGGGGGTAGTGGGCAAATTTCTCTCCGGTCTCCTTCCAAGCGGGGCTAAAGGATGGAAATTGAGGGGACTACAGACTGGGGAGAGGAGTCAGACGGCTGAGAGGGGAGGCGGCTAGTCGGGGCTGCTCTGACGGCGCTGGGCGGCTGGTTGGGGGTTTGGAGGAGGAGGTGCCCGAGAAACAGAGCTTTAACACCACACGGGCCAGGGCAAAGGGGCGAGTTCCCTCAAGGACTGAAAGGGGCAGGCAGCTAGTTCCCAGCTACCAGAGGTGCCCTGACGAGAGGCAGGAGCGCAGTAACATTCCAACATTTGGGCCGCCCCATCCTCCCCGCAAGACGCGAGGAAAACAGGGAGCTAAACTGACAAATAGCAAGGGAAGGAAATACTCTGCTGGCGATGGGGGCGGACCCACAGGCACCTGGACCTCCTCTAAGCGAATAAGTGGCCGTAATTTTTAGACACCGCGCCCAATCACAGACAGGATGGAGGGCGCGGCTTTTGACTGAGGGGGGCGGGCCCGGGCTGCAAGCGAGAGGCATGAGCCGTAAACCCGCACCACTTCCCGCCCACCAGCAAATCACGTGAGCCATCAAAATGGCGGTGTTCGGGCATGAGGCTGGGGCCAAGCTGAGGGATTCAGGTGTGGTGCCGGTGGTAACTGAGGAAGCGCCCAAGGTAGGCGGAAATCCGAAGTGGTATGGGGGGTAATTGCTGCAGCTTCAAAGTGTTGGCAGAGTCTTCCAAGATGATACACTTAAAGGAGATTTGAAAAGTTAAAACAGCCCCCAAGTCCATGCAAGGAGTAGTCGATTAAGTCTCCAGCTGTTGTGGAAAGAGGCGGAGAGAACGTAGATTACCTAAGTTCTAGTACTCATTATCTGCGGTTTGTTTTCTCTTGTCTCCAGGCCTTTGCACAGGCTTTTTCTTCAACTTGGAATATTTCCCTGCTTCTATCCGTCCCAACTCCCCTGCCAAATTGTTCTCTTTCGGATATTGGTTTAAATGTCACTTCCTCCGGGAAGCCTTCCCACGCCTCCTCTGACTAGATTAAGTTTGCCGTTTCTTAGGTTGTTGGGTTTTTCGTTTATGTCACTCTCTCATTCTGTGTTTAAATTGCCAGCTTTTTTGTTCTGAACTCCCACTACATTGTGGATTCCTGAGGATGGGATGACTGTATCTTGATTACTCGGAGACCTGGCATATACCAGGTGCTCCCTAAATTATGAGAGAATACTGAATAAAATTCTAAAGTTGAAATTTATTATTAGGTGAAAAATGTATTATTAGGTGAAATAATACACATGAAAGCACTACAAAACCGTTAAATGATTTGCAAACTATAAGCCACTCTTACTGGTATAAGCGTGGTGACTAGTTGAGTGGCCTTAAGAGGGGAGGGGTGTAATGAAAGCAGTCGATTCTTTGACAGTGCCTTGCAAAGCTTAAGCACTCAATAATATTTCCTGTGTTCTTTTCAGTATTTCAGTATTTGCTATCCTGTAATCATAATCCTGGGTGTCTGCTTTCCCTATAGAGAGTTCAGGGTGTAGACTAGGTAGGAGATTAGTAGAAGATATTGCCTGGAAGTTTATTTTGTTTTTTGTTTTTGGTGGAAGGTGGAGGACTTCAGTGAATTGGATGAGAGCAAAACAAAAATTTATGTAAGGTTTATGGTTACTCATGTTATTGACATCTGCCATCTTAGTACAATAGATGGGTTAGGTATAGAATCTCCCTTAGATGTTACTATCCCTTGTACTTTCCATTTGGGTGTCCAGGAGAGGAAAAAGATGTAAGTCTAGTCACTGAAAAATTGTAATTTGTAAAATATTTTACTTTTTATTCCCCCTGCCCTCTCCAGAAATGTTACAGAAAAAGATTGAGTACAATTCTGCGATGATGCAGAGAAAGAAATTGGTCCATTATTACTCATTGTGTAATGCCATAAGAAGGTTCAAAGGAGCTCATAACTTACGTATGTTGATGCCAGGAGCCGTGTATAATGAACTGGCCCTTCTATAGTTAGGATTGGTACATACCGCTCATTCAGCAAATGAGTATTACGGTAATATTCAACATGTGTCCATTGACTACAGCATCAAAAGCACTTGGTGCTATTAAAATGCAGATTCTAGGCCTCATCCTACTCCTGCTGAATCCAGATATCTCAGGAGGGAGTTCATGAGACTGCATTTCAAATAAATACCCCATGTGATTCTTGTGCATGCTGAAGGTTGAGAACCACTGATTTATGAAGTATTTTGTGTGTTCATTATGCTTTATCCCCTCTAATCCACTTGTCTAGGACTCCTTAACTTTGAGATTTAGTATTTGCCTTCAATATAAACGTTAAAATTGAGATTAGTGTACATTTGTAAAGAGGCTATTTGGCTAATCTGGAGGAAAAAGAGTAAAAAGCAGTGAATTTAGCGGCAATAGACTTTCCACTTGGCTGCTGTAGTAGGTAAACATTTGCAACTACATATTTGGATTTAACAAATGTTATTAAGACTTTTCACAGAAACTCTAGAGTCTTGCCCAGAGCAAAACATTCAGAAAGGATCCTGTCTGAGAGTGCAGGGTTTGTTTTCTTGTTGTTGTTGATTTGTTTTGTTTTTTAATCTCTCTAGTTTGTTAAGATGCTACTGGCCAAGTCTTCATGGTCCCTTGACATTGGCAGCTGTCTGTTCATCACACTTGGGACACAAGAACCTTCCAACCAAGGAGCCCAGTGCTGTGGGTCTCTGGGGCCCAGCGCGGTGGCTCACGCCTTTAATCCCAGCACTTTGGGAGGCCGAGGCAGGCAAATCACTTGAGGTCAGGAGTTCGAGACCAGCCTGGCTAACATAGTGAAACCCCATCTCTAGTAAAAATACAAAAATTAGCCAGGTGTGGTGGCAGGTGTGGGTCTCTGCTATACTACATAATCATTTCTAGCAAAGGCTCTGCTTCCATCACAGGTGGTAATAGGGAACTGGTTATGTAATTTATGTACTTCAAAGTAGTAGCCACAATCTACTGCCTGTTCCCTTCCTGGAGCAGTGTCCCTCTTTCTGATTTTTCTCTCTCACTGTTCTCCAAGGCAATCCCTGCTCTCTCCTACCTCTCTAGGAAATGAAACACGATTTCCAAAATGAACTCAGTCTTTCATGAGAAACTGAGGATAGAGATGTCAATAAGCAGCCATTGTTTCCACCTCCCCACCTGAAGAGCTAGGAGGACAACTACAAAGGGCCTGACTGCCTTCTCAGAATGAGGAGAGAGGAAAACAGAAACAGTATCAGTATGTTATCCCTCTAAACTAAATCTTAAGCAAGCCAACCTTTCAGACCCTCAGTTTCTCATCTGTATAGAGATAATCATTATACTACCAATTTCTCAAGTTAGTGTGTGAATCAGAAAGCCAATGTCTGTGTGTTGTAGGATGTTTAGCAAGAAAATAAAAAATAATAACAAAAAGCCAATGTCTAACAGATAATAAGAGCTCAGTAAATGTTGATTGAATTATTAACAAAATATGTGAAAGCAGACAACACAGTACCTGGCACACTACTAAACTGTAAATGTTTTCAAATCTGAATCTGTAGAATTCTGTAAGGTTTTATGTAATATGAATATCATTAGCTATTATGGCTCTGGAATTTTTTTTTCCAGGATGTCAAGATGACAGCATCTATGCATGGTCAACCCAGTCCTTCTCTAGAAGATGCAAAACTCAGAAGACCAGTGATCATAGAAATCATAGAAAAAAAATTTGACTATCTTAGAAAAGAAATGTAAGAGAAATACCCAGGCTGAAAATCATTTTATTTGCAAGTCTTTTGTATTGCCATTGTTTCTGAGATCCTATTCTTTGTTATCCTATTCTTTGAGTTGGTTATGAAGAACACATCCTTAAAAAAAAAGAATGAGGGAAACAAGAACAGATGAAAATAGTGGTTTGTTGGAATATTTGGGATTGTGGATAATTTCTTTTGTTTCTTAAAAAGTATCCAAAAGTATTGCTAAAACATTTGTGCAGTAAATATATTTTAATTAAAAGTAAGAGAAAATCATTGGGGGGGTACTTATATTTAATTGGTGAGTAATTATAATCAGTTAAGGATTGATTATCTCAGCCACAGTACTTAGTACAGCAAAAGGGAATACAGATTTCATAGTATAAAGATAGTCTCACATTAACATATTGACTTTTTTTTTTTGAGATAGAGTCTCACTCTGTCACCCAGGCTGGAGTGCAGTGGCACAATCTCGGCTCACTGTAATCCCCATCTCCCAGATTCAAGTGATTCTCCTGCCTCAGCCTCCCAAGTAGCTGAGATTACAGGCATGTACCACCACACCCAGCTAATTTTTGTATTTTTAGTAGAGATGGTTTCACCATGTTGGCCAGACTGGCCATTTTGACTTTTAAATGAATGGAGTTCAAGAATAAAACCAAAGGACAGTTGATCTTATTTCCTGGATTTAGGTATGGGTCTTAATAAGAAAACTAGATCAGATTTTTTTGGATGAAATTTTCTAAATCTTGGACAAATTATTTTAAATGTATCTGGGACTAATGCAGAAATAGAAGGCCTAACCAAATGTAAATAGCTTTTTTTTAGATGAACTTAAGCAAAGTAAATCTTTTAGTTGCAGGAAAGGTATTCTTCGATTTGGGTAACTCATAAAATTTGGCTACATTGGAGCATATTTATATTTATTTGTGACCAAAATTATTTAAAAGAGCTCTATTTTAGAACTACTGTAAATATTCTCAGAAAGAGAATCATGTCCTCTCATTGGAATACAAGTTCTATGAGGGGTGGGAAATTTCTTTCCTTTTCTTTTTTTCTTTTGCCTTGTTTACTGCCCTATCTTAAGCACTTAGAAAATACTTTTCACATAGTAAGTGCTCAAGAAGTATTTCATATTGAGTAAATATGCAATAACAACTTTTTAGGAAAGGCTGTATCCATTAAGTTCAATGTTACAGTGAACTGAATTTTTCTTTTTTTCTATTAGGACACCAAATATATATCAAACGACGTCATTTGGAACAACAGCTGGTTTCTCTGGAATATTCTCAAACTTCCTGTTCAGACGCTGCTTCAAGGTTAAACACGATGCTTTGAAAACATATGCATCATTGGCTACACTTCCATTTTTGTCTACTGTAGTTACTTACAAGCTGCTTGTAATTGATCCTTTGTATTCAGGTGAATTTAAATTCACTAATGTATAATGTAGTTTTGTCTAAGTAAAGTTACTGATTAACATATGCTGTTGCTACTGCTAATAATAATTCTTTACATTTATATAGTGCTATACAGTTTACAAAGTCCCTTCATATACCTTGTCGTATTTAATCCCTGCAAAAATCCTCCTAATGAGGTAAATCGTATTTTTTTCTTTTTGTAGATAAGCAAGCAACCCAAACTGAGGCATGTTCAAGTACACTAATAAACAACATACTGGGAAAAGAATTGACTGTGGCATATAACACACATCATTTCAGTATCCTACCTCCTGCCACTTAAGTTTTGTGACATTCAGCGAGTAATTTCATCTCTGAGCCTCCCTTGTCTTATCTATGAATTAAGACTAATAGTACTCACCTCACAGGATTTTATGAGAATTAAAAGATACTGTAGGTTAAATGACTACCACAGTATCTGTCATATTATGGGCTTTTAATGTTATTTCCTGCCCTTCACCTTACCTTGAGTTTCACAACTAGTAATTGATAGAGCCTCTATCCATCATTCATTCTTCAGGTCCCTGCTTAAGTATCTTTTCCCCAGGGAGACCTCTGATTCCCTCATTGCACATTAGGTGTTTAGATACATTCTCTATATAGTTTATCTTCAAAGTATTGTGTACACTTATAATTATCTATTTAAATATTTATCTCATGTCTTTCATTCCTGTAAACTGGCCAGAACATCAGAGATCAGGTGTCTTTTATATACCACTGTATTCCTAGCACCTAGCACATTCCTGATACATAGTAGATAATAAAAATGTATTAACCTAGAATCCAGGTCTGGTCTGCTAGTTTAGTATTCTGTCATTATAAAATTGCTTCTGGCTGGGCATGGTGGCTCATGCCTGTAATCCCAACACTTTGGGAGGCCAAGGCGGGCAGATCACTTGAGGTCAGGAATTCGAGACCAGTTTGGCCAACACAGTCTCTACTAAAAATAGAAAACCAGTTGGGCGTGGTGGTGCACGCCTATAATCCCAGCTACTTGGGAGGCTGAGGCATGAGAATTGCTTGAACCCTGGAGGCAGAGGTTGCAGTGAGCCGAGATCGTGCCAGTGTACTCTAACCTGGGCAACACAGTGAGACTCTGTCTCCAAAAAATAAAATAGCTTCTACAACAACCACATATGTTAGAGGTAATTCTCTATGTGATAAAGTACAATAAAAACTTTTTTAAATGTGCTGCATTTAGCCTGTTATATGCCACAGAGTTTGAATTTCTGATATTCTTTCTATGGTTTAGTCATGGTTGAGGATAGTGCAGATAACTACTCTGAGGTACAACACTGTCTTAATAGCTCTTGAGTTTTAAAGGAAAACCAAATTTACTTTTGTTTTCCAGAAAATATAAGCAAGGAAAACTGTGTTTTCAGAAGTTCACTGATCGGCATAGTTTGTGGTGTTTTCTACCCCAGTTCTTTGGCGTTTACTAAAAATGGACGTCTGGCAACTAAGTAAGTTGTTCCTTTTCCTTCTTTTTTACTTTTTTTTTTTTTTAGGTTAATAAACTCTCTTTTTTCTTTAGCTGTCTGTGATATATTTGAATCAAAATGTGGTCATTTGGTATTTCAGATAGCTAACTTTTAACTTTTTTGCTCTCTACATTATAGACCTAGAAAGGCAGTTACCAGTTTAGGAGAAGTCAACAAACTTCTAATAGCATTCATATCCAGAAGAAGTGATTAACTCTTTTTTTCTTTTTAGGTATCATACCGTTCCACTGCCACCAAAAGGAAGGGTTTTACTCCATTGGATGAGGCTTTGTCACACACAAATGAAATTAATGGTGATTCCTCTAGTCTTTCAGACTGTATTTGGAATATTAAATGGTCTATACCATTATGCAATATTTGAAGGGACACTTGAGAAAACTATACATGAAGAGTAACCAAAAAAATGAATGGTTGCTAACTTAGCAGAATGAAGTTTTTATAAAGAGGACTCAGGCATTGCTGAAAGAGTTAAAAGTAACTGTGAACAGATAATTTGTTTCTGTGCCTTTTGCCTGGTATAGCAAATACTCAAAAAATATTCAATAATTCAATCAATAAATATAAGTTTCATCTTACATGTAAGATACAAGTTTTATCTCCTGATGGTGTGTCCATTTTGCCTGGTATGTAACAGATAATAAATATTCAGTATCAATAAATATAATAATAGAAGTTTCATCTTTCCTTTTTGTATGCGGAAATGGGTTTGGGCGTCAAGGTCTCATCTGTGCAGCTATATATTCATTCATTCATCAAACATTTACTGAGCTATTTCTCAGGCACTGTGTTAAATATAATAAACATTCTGACTGGGCATGGTGACTCTCACCTGTAATTCCAGCACTTTGGGAGACTAGGGCGGACGGATCACCTGAGGTCAGGAGTTTGAGACCAGCTGGCCAACATGGCAAAACCTCATCTCTACTAAAAGTACAAAAAAATTAGCTGGGCATGATGGTGTATGCCTGTAATCCCAGTTACTTGGGAGGCTGAGGCAGGAGAATCGCTTGAACCCATGAGGCAGAGGCTGCAGTAAGCTGAGATCGCGCCACTACACTCCAGCCTGGGCGACAGAGCAGAACTCCATATGAACAAAAAAAAGAAAATGAACATTCCTTACCTGGAAGGAACTCAATTGAGGAGGATAAGAAGTGTGAACATATACTATGAGAGGATTTGAGAGGGATACACATAATTCTGTAAGGGCACTGAGGGTATGCTTGTTAACTAGGCAGAAGGGGAAGCTGTGGTGGAAAAAAGTAACAATTGAGCCAAATTTTGAAGGAGGAATTGGAAGTTCTTAAGGAAGGTATGGGAATAACATAGCCCATTTCTCTGCATTGATACTATCTTCTCATTTACAAATTGTCTTCACTATATAGTTCAAAGAAATTGTTTTTAACCTTCAGTTCTTGTTTCCAAGAAAGAATATTTATTGAGTGCCTATCTGCCATGCATTGAGATAGGCACCAAGGGTACAAAGATTCAGTGCTTGTCGCTAAAGAAGCTTAAAATCTAAAGAGTTTACAGCATGTTTCTTTAGAGTCTGCTAAGGCATCCCTGAGCTACGCATTTATCTTAGTTCAGAAAATGAACATGGATGAGACGAATTACAGAATGGAACTGTACATCTCATTCTCCATATCCTAACCATATTCATTTTGAGATTTAAAATGTGGTAATCCTGGAAATATAACAAGGTTGACTTAAGTTCACCTCTCCTACCACCAGAAAGCTAAATAGATTTGTACCTTACTCCATGACTTCAGATTGTCTTTGTAATAAAAAAAAGCTGGCAAGGCAATCAGTATTTCCTTTAGCTTAGGAAAGCACTACTTGTCAAAGTGACTATAAGAGGCTGAAAAGAGAAATTAGGGAAACCTTGACCTTCTGGGCCTGAACCCAAAGGTGAAGCCAGGTGAGCCAGTGAAGAAAAGCAACATGTGCAGAAGGTGTGAAGTACAGCTTGGAGCTCCATTCAAGGTTCAAATCCTGGCCTCATTACTTACTAACAGGATAATCTTGAATAAACTACTTCATCTCTCTGCACTTAAGTCTCCTTATCTATAGAATGAGGAATAAAAACTGTACTCAGTCTCAAAGTATTGTATTAAATGAGTTAATATATGTAAATCAAAACAGTACCCAACTCATAGGAAGTCTATATGTATTAGCTGCTATCTTAATCCACTTGGGCTACTGTAACAAAGTAGCATTGACTGGGTGACTTATAAACAACAGAAATTTATTTCTCATACTTCTGGAAGCTACGATTTGGTGTCCGATGAGGGCCTGCTTTCTGATTCATAGGTAATGCCTTCTTGTGTCCTCAGATGATGGAAGGGGCAAAAGAGCTCTCTGGAGCCTCTTTTATAAGGGTAATAACCTCATTCATGGGGCTCTGTCCTCATGACCTAATCACTTCCCAAAGGCCTTACCACCTAATACCATCACCTTGGGGTTAGTATTTCAAAATATGAATTCAGGGGCACAAACATTTAGACCATAGCAGCAGCAATTATTGTTGCTATTGCTGCATGTCAAGTATTATGGTCCTCTTCCTAGTCTGTAGTTATCAGTCTAGCACTTCTGTAGAGAAGATTAGAAAAGTCCACCAAAGATAATCCACAACATATCTTTCATTTGAATAAACATGTATTCACTTATTCAGCTAATGTTGATTCAACACTCAATACTACAGGTTTAGCAAGTTATGTAAACTTTCTGTGTTTTAAAACATATTAATAACTGCTTTATACTGTGGTTCTAAAGAGTAAAGTACATAAAACCATACCATACCACACCTGGCATGTAGAAGTTGCTCAATAAATGTGTTTACATTGTCTGTTTTTCCTGATAGGTGTACAATAATAACTAAGATATGGTCCCTCTTATGAGAACTTACTTTCACTCTTACCTCTTCATTTCCCCTGACTCCCTTCACCATGTGATTTTCCCCACTTTTGTGTTGTTATTGCATTGCACTGCATTGCTTGGGTTGTATTGTGTACTGATTTTCTCTCTGCTTTTGTACAATTGTTTTATCTTGCATTAACTATTCAGTTTTTGAATTTTCAAGTTTAAATAGTAATCTAATAATGAAGAAATAGTATTTTACACATGTGGTTGAATTTCATAGAATTTGTTCACCCACTTTCCTCAGCTTCATTAAAAAACAAAAAAAGAGTCTTCCAAAGATGCATACCCCATACTCCCCTAGCTTCATCATTCTAAAAAACAGGCAAACTAACATTAATAAACATGAATAATTGAATCTTGGTAGCCCTAAACCCCACCAGCTTCACTACAGAAACAAAGAAATCCACTCCAAAGTCTCCCCAAGATTAGACATTGCAGAAGAAAAGATTAGTGAACCCAAAGACAAAGCAAACTACAAAACTACCACAAGAAAGCTTGGGGGAAATTGTTCAGGACATTGGATTTGGCAGCTATTTCTTGGATACGACATCAAAAGCACGAGTAGCAAAATCAAAAACAAGCAAATTGGGACTACATCACACTGAAAAACTTGTGTGTGTCAAAATAAAAAACAGCATGAAAAGGAAACCTAAAGAATGGAAGAAAATAATTGCAAGTCGTACATCTGATAAGTGGTTAGTATTGCAAGTCGTACATCTGATAAGTGGTTAGTATTGCAAGTCGTACATCTGATAAGTGGTTAGTATACAAGGAACTTCTACAACTGAACAACAAAAACCAAATAACTTGACTTCAAAAATGAGCAAAGGACTTGAATAAACATTTCTCAAAAAAGAGATATACAAATGACCACTAAGCATATAAAAAGACACCAGCATCACTAACCATTAGGGAAATGCAAATCAAAACCATCACCTCACACCCATCAGGATGGCCACTATCCAAAAAACAGAAAATAAGAAGTTAGAAACCTTGTGCACTGTGTTGTGAATGTTGCCATTATGGAAAACAGTATGGTGGTTCCTCAAAAAATTAAAGGAAAACACCATGCAGTACAGCATTCTCACTTCTGGATATATATCCAATTCAGAACAAGATCTTGAAGAGACCTGTGCACATTATTCACAATAGCCAACAGGCGGAAGCAACTCAAATGTCCTTCAATAGATTAATAAAGAAAATGTGGTATAATACAACAAAATATTATGCAGCATTAAGAAGGAAATCTTTCCACATGCTACAACATAAGTGAAACTTGAGGACATTACACAAAGTGAAATAAGCAAAATAAGCAGTCACAAAAGGACAAATACTGTGTAATGCCACTCATACAAGGTACCTAAAGTAGTCAAAGTTATAGAAATACAGTAGAAAGATGGTTACCAAAGGCTGGGAGAAATGGGAAGGAGGAATTAGTATTTAGTGGGTATAGAGTTTCAGCGTTGCAAGATGAAAAAGTTCTAGAGATCTGTTGCATAACAATGTGAATATATTTAACGCTACTGAACTGCACAGTTAAAAATGGTTAAGATGGTAAATGTAATGTTATGTGCTTTTACTACAACAACAGAAAAATCCTGCAACCAAATACTGTTTTAGACTTACACAGTGTGAAATAATGAATCACCAGAAGGCTTGCATTCTAAGAAATCTTGAAGAAGTATTTCAAATAGAAGGAAAACGATATCAGATGGAAATCTAGAAAAATGAGGAACACTAGAAGTGGCAAATCTGTGGGTAAATATAAATTGTCCTTATTTTAAAAACTTGTTTCAAAAACAAATGACTTTATATTATGTGGTTTATAACCAGTAGAAGTAAATGTATGACAATAACTCAAAGACTAGGAGGGAAGACATGAAGGTATAAAATTCTAATACTATACATAAAGTGACATAATATTACTTGAAAGTAGATCATGATAAAGATACTCTTGTGGGGGTTGAATTGGCCCCTTCAAAACATATGTTCAAATCCTAAGCTCTGTACCTGTGAATATGTCCTTACTTGGAAACAGGGTGTTTGCAAATGTAATCAAGTTAAGATGCAGTATATTGGATTAGGATGAACTTTATCCAATGACTGATGTCTTTATAATACCAGGTAAATTTGAGTACACAAACACAACAGAGAGGGAAAATGTCCACATAAAGCCACAAATACATAAGGGGGGATACCATGTGAGTACAAAAGCAAGGATTGGAATGACACATCTATAAACCAACGGACACCAGGGATTGCAGGCAACTACCAGATGCTAAAAGAGAAGGATCGAACAGATTCTCCTTCGGGGCCTCCAATAGAAACCAACCTTGCCAATACATTAATTACAGACTTACAGCCTCCAGAACAGTGAGAGAATAAATTTGTTGTTTTAAGCCACCCAGTTTGTGGTACTTTCTAAAGATAGCCTTAGGAAACTACCTGTGTACTATATATGCTAAAGCGATCATTACAATTTTTTAAAAGAATTACAACTAGTAGGATACGAAAGATGATGAAATGGAAAAAAAATCAATTAGTCCAAAAACAGGCAGAAGGAAATGTAGAACAGATAGGACAAATAGAAAACAAATAGAAAGCTGATAGATTTAAACTCTAAAATATAAAAATCATATAAACAAATGGTCTAAACACTCCCCCATGAAAAGTCAGAAATTGCCTAATTTAGATAAAAAGCAAAATCCACCTATATGGTCTAAAAGAAAACCTGCATGAAATCTAAAGACTCAAATA